AACCCGTTTTTTTAGACATTTTTATTCAAAGTCTATTGATTCGTAACCTTAAAATTGCAGCGAGTGGATGAAGGTACAAAACCGATGATTCCCCCAAATTGGTGTGTTTTAGGTTTAAGAAATGTAGATCAAGTTTTAACGGACGGATCGCAAAAATTTTAGGGAATGATGATGATATTAGGCCGCGTCCTTAGAGTGAGCCCAGGTGCCCCTTAGATTCACTTTTCGTAATATATATATTATATTATATATATTATCATATAAGTATATATACATTTTATATATATATATATTATATATATATATTAATATATAGATAAATATATATAATACATCTTATGTATTATAACATCATTATACTTATATCATATTATCTGTAGTATACATATATGACTAATATATAGCATATATATTCGTCGGGGTGAGTGTGTTATCATACACACACACACAACACAAACACTACAATATATATATTATTATATTATATAATATATATATATATAATATATTATATATATATATACCTATATATATTATATATATATATATAAGTATATATCATATAGAGAAAACTCTGTCACTTTAAGTGGACTGAGTGCTTCGTCCCAAAGTTTTAACCGTTTGGATCATGACTTGATAAGGATCTGTATCAGAAATAAGATGATATCATTTATACAAAGGGATAATAAATTACAATAAGTATAATGATCCTCTTCCTCAGTTTTTATGCAACAGAAGAAAGTTAACAAATTGAGTTAGTAGTGAGAGAGAGAGAGAGAAAGAGAGAAATAGTATGCTTGTACAAACACAAATTTGTTTTTTGATGATGTGTCATATTTTGTCACTCATTTCATTTTCACCACCCCAACTATTGATTGTTCGAAGGGCATTTCAATGAGTGGAGGGGAAATTACTCCATACAAGATAAAAACTTGTGTTTAGAGTCCAACTACTTTTTATCTCTATATATAACTAATTATATATATAATGTATATAATCTATATATATATATATTATATATAGCAGTAGTTGGCGCTCACAAATTGGTAACTTTACCTTGTAGTTCTAATTTGATCGCTAACTATGAAATATTCAAGCAAAATAGGAATGAGAATTGTATTATATGTAGTAATAAATATGTTGATAGAGCCTTTCTTCTAATATTATTTAAAGTAATTATTAATTATTAAAGCATCAAATATTAGTTCGTGAGAAAGATAAAGTAATATATCGTCAATATATCCTTTTTAGTGAATCAATCAAAGTATATAAATGATGATGACACCGTCTAAATTAATGGTGGGTTCACATTAAATATAATTTATAAAATATACATTAAAGTCAAATCTTTAACCACATATAATAGATGTCTAAATTTTGCAACTATTCTGCCTTAGGAATAGTGATGGTGCACTTAATTTATGGCTATACATGTTAAGAAAACTTACTCTTCTATCCTCACGTTAATTGATGTATACTATGTTATTACACTTAACACAATGAAAATTTAGAAGGTTACAAAAGAAACCCCTTAAGTTTTGAAATTGCTAAAATATCTAAAATTTTATAATTACAACTACACAATAAATATTAAACAATTACTTTAATCAAGGAGTTGCAAAATCATTAATTTTTAACCTTGAGGATTATTTGCAATTGTTAACTTTAAGTGTGGTTTTTTTGTATTTTCATGAAAAAGTCTTAATCTGAATACAATGTGTAACTTACTTTTGTCTTTTTTAAGTCAATATCATGAAATTGCTAATTTAGGTGAGTTTTTAGGTTACAAAAATATTTGGACAATTTATTCTAACACTACTGCACAAATGTTTTCTTTTATAAACAAAATACTTATTGAATTAATTTTAAACTAATGCAATTCCCCATTTTGAATATATATGGCGAGTTGCTAGATTTTATTTTACTTTATTATTATATTTTACGTGTTGCTATATAATGTAGTGGTTTAAAATATCTCAATCGGCTAATCTATTTCACATTTGTGTAAGTTGCACTATTGCAAACTTGCTATATGTTTGGTCTGGTATTTAATATACAAGGCAGTGTAAACCAAAATGGTTATACTGTATTGTTTGTCATTTTTACATACGCGTCAAAGATAATTTGTTTCATTTAATTTTTTAGTATATTTTTACAGGCTTCATATTTTAGATGTGTATAATACTATTTTTGTCGTATTCACAAATTGTGCTTGCAATGACGCTATTAAATTCCAACTACATAAAATCTTTATTTCCGTCTTATCCTGAGTCTTTATCAGGTATCACTCACACCACAGCAAGTTACACGTACGGGCATTAATCATTACTCAATTGAATAAAAAGAAACAAGACTCAGTGGCTTCCAACTAAAGACAAAACTCAATGCGACTTGCACAGCGTCAACCAGTTGACCGCGACAACACCGATCCTACTATAAATAGAAAATGCCTACATAATAAAGCAACGCCATTGTCATCCGTTTTCTCTTTCTCATCTCTCTTTAATCAACGTAAAACTAAATCCTCTCTTTCTTCTCAATCTCATCCTTCATAAAAGATCAATATTTAATTATCCTCTAATAATGAATGCTTCTCATTCCCGCTCAAACACCCACCCCGCCCACCCCCCCCCCCATAACGTTTTAGTCTCGATCGCTTAAACTAAGATTGAACTGCAATCGCGTCGAATTGGTACTATTTTGAGCGAAATCGTGATATCTGGAATCATTTCCTTTATTTGTTAATCGATTGGAAAAACATAAAATGCTTAAAATTGGAGTACTAAGTGAATAATAAAGACGTGTCTGTTGGGGCTTTTTGAGATAATTTATCTTAAATATTGGCTTAAGGATGCAATAGGTTTGAAGGGAGCGTTGTTATCTCTCAAAGCATCATCAGGATTGTTCCGTACTGCAGTGAAGTTTTTGATGATACTCTCTTACTTTTTCAAAAAGAGGGATGTTGTGTACATTCAAAGATAAGGACAATGAATGTCTTAAGAGGTGGTTTTTCTCCCTTCTTTTTTTTTTTCTTTTTTAAATTGCGCTCGGATTTTTTCTAGATTAAGTCGCTAATTCGGCCATTTACTATTGGCATGAATTATATTAACTTTGAATCCAAGAAAGCTCTTGTATGATGAATTCCTTTCAGCTGATAATTTGTATGACGCAGGAGTTACAAAAATATTTTCTAGTTTTATACATGTTGGTTGCTGTATAACGTGGAGTTGTATCCGTTCATGAAATTAGTCATATTTAGAGGGGAAAGGCTAGCGTCTTATCTTTTTTCCTTTTTTACCTTTTATGGGTTTTTTGCATCTAGTGTAATCAGATTTGTTATTTCTTTTGGTGTTTAACGAATGGATTTATGTGTAAACTGAATGGCGCGTCTCAAATTCACTAACCTTGTGCTATGTTTCAGAGCAGAAAGTATGGTTTTTTCATTATAAAGTTTATTTTCACCTACAGCCCTGTAATTTGTGATAAAACGGTTTGTCTATTCTTATGTTCTATGTTTTACTATACATGTATTATTTCAATTGTTGCAGATGATATTGTGTTGATTGTTTGTTTCCTACCATTGGTAATCTTTAATATCACATGTTTCGTTATTGATCTTCACAGTCTTGTGAGTAAAGAGAGTAGATGTGATAACACTCTTTTTGCTTTTAGATTTATTAAGAGGACCTATCAAACTACAAAAATATTAATTTTTTCTTTTTGTGATCAGTGTATATTTGTGGAGGATTTAGCATTATAGATGTGCACAATCTAAGTCACAGACCATGCATGCATCTATAGTATTGGTATAAGTATGTTGTCGTAATGAAACTTCGTTCTACTTTATAAATATTATTTTACCATTCGGGATATGTGATGCTCAGTTGTAGAGAACAAAAATTGAAGAGGACAACACTTATCCACCCCCCCCCCAAAAAAAAAAAAAAAAAAAGAAGAAGAAGAAAGAAAACAACACACCACACCAAGAAACAGAAGCTATGTCTGTTTCTCTTTCTTATTTCTCCCTATTATTTCGAGATGTAATATGAATTTTAATAATAATAAGTGTAGAGTGCTGGAAGTTCTGCATATAAACTGTGTTACTGTTCTGTTTATTGCAGCACTCTTACTAAAATTTAGCAATTTATGGAATGACTCCTGAATTTGTGTGTCATCTACATGCTAAATAGTTGCAGGAATTGTTTAACTGTACATTGACTGCAAATGGACCTTCACTCATGCTTGCAGCCCGTAATGCAGATACAACCGAGGTATAAAATACACCATCTCTGTGAATAAAATTGATATTACTCGCGTATATGCTTTTTATTATTGCTGCAGCAGATCTTTGTAGTTTGTTATGTTTTCAATGTATACTTCAGTCAGTGATAAAACATCACAGAATGACATTGTTTTTATGTTCCTGCGTAGATTGATCAATATGTACGCGATTAATGTTTCTTGCTGATCATTTGCTTCTCCTTTACTTGCAGCGTTTTGCCAGTTATAATGAGGAATAAAGAGACAAAAGGACCACAGCGCTGATTTTTTGCTCGAAAATGGTGAGTTTTCTTTTTCAACATTGAGAAGTTCACTGTAAAATGATTCTATTTTCTGCCATTCATTTTTCTTCACATAAATCTTCTTTTTGTATATATATCAAGGCTATATTTTGTACCAAAAAATTTTTGTTTTTCATGTACGCTCCTATGAAGCACGACACGCGCGAACAAGCCGAGTCGTGTCGACGCGTGTCGGCCGGACACGTCAGCGCGTCGAAGCTTCGACCGCCGTCAACGCTGCCGATACGCCGTCAACGTCCCGACACGGTGTCTTCTTGTTCGCCGACGGCTGGACTCTTACACGAACACGGCTGAGGATGTGGAAGAAATAGTGAAAACCCGAACCCAAACCAACCCTAATTTTTCACTCACTTTGTCCCTACGCCGCACAGTCCCTTCGTCTACTCTCTCTCCTCGAATCGGAGGCGGATCGGGAGAGACCTCGTCGATTGGGGTTGGCTGATGAACGGTGATGACCTCTACAAAGAGGGAAGCAGATTCTTCGATCGAGGATAAGAGAGATCCTAAGGTTTCTTTAAGACGAAGCAGGGGCGAAGAGAGAAACTAAGGATTGACGTCTGGGGTGGTCTTGAGAGCTGACACCTTTTAAAGTACGAAGAGCCCAGAAGCTGCTTACTCCAGCAACAGCAGAGAGAGAAAGTAGAGAGCAGAAGAGAGAGACGCGGAGTGAATAGCCTCGCCGAATCACTAAGACAGTACTCGTGCCAAGCAACACGATTTATTGAATGGACAGAGTAAGCAAGATTAATGGGGTGAGTCAACAAAACAGTGGCAAAGGACGATAAGGGCTCCCTCTATGTTAGGCGCACTCGCGATGTTCAGAATTGTGGAAAGAGAGAAAAAGAGGTCGCAATAAATGAGGATGAGGTTGGATCTTTGTATTGCTTCAGAAATCGAAAATTGCCTCCACAAAGATTGAAAGGAAGTAAATTAGGGTTGTTGGAATTTTATAAACTTTATATATATATATATATATATATATAATATGATATATATATATAGTATATAGATATATATATATATATATATTATTTAAAAAATCGAGCCGTGTCGCCGTATCCTATTTTTTTTGGGTTTTGTCGTGTCCGAGTCCGTGTCGTGTCCGTGTCGCTGTGTCCGTGTCTGTGCTTCATAGATACCCTCATGCTTCCCTTTTACATTCTAATTGCCTTGCAGTTGACTAGAATTTTGGATTGCTATCTATTTAAAACAAAGCTAGTGGATGAAGATATTATATAAATTAGTATGTGGAATAAGTATTTCATGTGAACAAAATATACACGTTAGTAGGTGATGATAACACAAATGGGATTATATGGGACTATTAACATAAATAGTAGGCAAATGAATCTTGAACGCGGATTTATTGTACAGCACAGAAAGACTTTGAAATTTTTCTTCTGGTTTAGAAAAGTTCTTATGGCTACTAATGCCCACTCTCTGATAAAGCATGGGGGTGGGATCATGAGATGTATCAGATTCAAGACCAGGCTACTAATGCCCACTCTCTGATAAAGCATGGGGGTGGGATCATGAGATGTATCAGATTCAAGACCAGGCTACAACCTTTGTTAAAAGAAAAGAAGGAAAATAGAGAAGGTGTTTGACTCATAATTATAATCTGAAGAGGCAGGCAGTTATAGGTATCTCACTTTTTAAATGCAGTTGCATAGTGTACAGTATGAGAGCAGGTTATTCTGTGGTTTAGTTATATACTACGTGTCTTGGACTTGATAGTTGCTGTCTTTGTATGTGTACGTGGTTAAATAGATGTCATTGACAGAATATCTGTACTCTTTTTAACTTCTAATCTATATTGTTAACCTCAATTTAAAGAAATTTCTATTGCATGCCATGCTTTTAGCCGTCCACATGCACTTAGATTTGGCATCGCCATCAGACATAGCAGGTACATTTTCGAATGAATCAAATATGATTTATGAAGTTATTTTTCCATTAAAATATGGGGGAAAAAGAAAAAAAACTGACTAGTAAAGTTCCACCACTTTATCAGTGAATTATTTTTTATTCATTTTCTCCATTTTTCACCTGCTCTTTTCCAATCAGAGGTAGCTTGATTATATCGTGGTGGACATGGAACGGACAGTATATAAAGCTAGTCATATCTGATATCTACCTTTCAATATAGTCTGTCCAGTAGCCACTTAGTTGTCTATTATGAACCAACCTCATGATTTAATGCAACTGCATCCCAAACACACGACTTCATGTTGGTTCATGGTGTGCGCGGTGTTGGGACAGATCTCAAATGACATGTGAAGGTGGTCAATTAAATGAATGATTGTTGTTTTGTTTGGCAGTCACGAAGCATTACTATTGAGTGTAAACAAACGGGTATCTGAAAGTTAAGACTAATATATTTGTATAACTGTGGGTTTTGGGCTTTCGGGTATAATTATTTCTATCAATATTTCTCAGAGAAATATCCATTTTTCAAAGTGAAATGGTCCATTATTATGTAAATAAATATGGATAACAGAGCAAACAAAGTCAAAGTCTGTGAATAAAGGATTGGCTTGTGATCATGGATAGAGTAGTGACTAACATACCTGCCCAATCTGGATCTACCCGGATAGTCTATGGTACTGTTTGGCAACCAAAAAAAATGTCTTATCTAAGAGCTTGTGTCTTATTGACTTGGTCAATAAGCTAGTAGAGCTGTTTGGTGACCAAAAATATGAGGAGATTATTTTGGAGATTGTGTCTTTTGCAAGTAGCTTTTGGAAAGCTATCTCAAGTAGCGTTTGTCTTTGTGAAGGAGCTGTCAAATTTTTTCTTCCGTTTTTGCCCCTAATAATTCTAATTTTATATCAATAATATTGCATGACCTTTTTAGTCATTTAACAAATTTAAGCTAGTTGTACAGCTTCTTTTGCCAAACAGCTCTAGTCAATCAGCTAGCTACACAGCTATCAGCTTTCAGCTACAATTTCACAGCTTTCAGCTATAATCTCGCAGCTTTCAGTTAGTTTTGCCAAACAGAGCCTATATTTCCAGATCCATTTGCAACATCAGGAGTGACTCTTACATTTGTTTCATTTGACAACATTCCGATAAATATTAGATTGTCTGATATTATCATGTTGCGCTTCGTTTAAACTAGATATTATCATGATTCCTACATGTGTTTTGCTTATGTACAAGTCTTCGAAAAAATTGCTGTCAGGTTTGTACTGGGGCAAAGAGTGAACAGCAATCAAAACTCGCAGCTCGGAAGGTATTGGATTGATGTTTTCCTGTCAACCTGATCGCTATATAACGTTTTGATATGTTTGTAGGCTTAAAATCTAATTGTTAACGGAAGAATAACATCTGTCATGGTCCTTTTGCTTTCAGTATGCTCGTATCATTCAAAAGCTTGGTTTTCAAGCTAGTTTTAAGGTGATTCTTATTGATAATTTATTTATTTTGGGTTTTGATCATTGTAAATAGTTATATTTTTGTTCTGTTTTGTTTCTGACAAAAATAGTTATATTTTTGTTTTGTTTTGTTTTTGACAAAAGTAGTTATATTTTTGTTTGTAATCATATTCCAATAGTTCATTCTTATGACATTTTGATGTGGTCTCAAGGATTTCAAGATCCAAAACATTGTTGGTTCATGTGATGTCAAATTTCCCATAAGACTCGAAGGTCTTGCATACTCCCATGGCGCTTTCTCTAGCGTAAGTTATTTTCAATGATTTTCTGCCTTCCATTAATTTTTTATTTTATTTTTTATTGAGTGTTTAGTTGCTACATTCATAACAGCAGTCCAAATTAAGTATGAATTTTGTTCTGATGATTGATAATTTTGGTTGCATACTTAAAGTTAGTTATTTTTATATCATTAGTTGGTATTCTGTTGGATTGCTGAGTTAACTTCTTTGTTCCAATGTGCACTGTGAACAGTACGAGCCAGAACTCTTTCCTGGCCTAATATATCGCATGAAACAGCCAAAGATTGTGCTTCTCATATTTGTTTCAGGCAAAATTGTTCTTACAGGAGCTAAGGTAAAGTTGTTCTTGCTGCACCTTTGTTTAGTACTTCTGTTTCTACATTCCTTTATCTGTTTCCTTTGTTCAGGTGAGAGAGGAGACCTATGCGGCTTTTGAGAATATATATCCAGTGCTTACAGAATTCAGGAAAAGCCAGCAGTGGTATGAATCTATCATGTGTATTTTGATACTTTTTCAAGGAATATAGTATTTAAGTGCTATTTATATGATGCTTCAGACTTCATCTTTTTCTAGTTGTGATCCAAAATTTTATGTCTATCTGGCTTGCCACTACATTTATCTACATTTGAAAAGTTTGACTTCATGCTACATCTCATAAGTCTCATAGGTAAGATAGGCTTTTTATTCTAGCCTATGGAATTTGTTTACAAACTTGCTCAATTGTTTTTCAAGCTGACTATGCTATTTTAGCAAGCGTGAAAAGCATGAGGATTTCTTCTGAGATTATGCCATTTGTATTATATTTTGAAGTAATCTTCAGAATGTTACCTCTTTTTTTTTTTTTGCATTTTACTACCCTTGAACTCAGCACTACCAGTAGAGAAGATTAAATTGCAGGATGGAAAGTTTTTTTCTTGCATCTGTTTCAATTTATGGGTTTTTGTGTGTCGGTTCCTGAGAAGATGTTGGATGTATGGATAGTGGTATTCTTCTTCTTGGGATTTATTTACGAGATATAGCTTTTGTGCTTTCTGTGTCCATGCAATTAGTGATTGGATTCGCAGGAGGGTGGTTGGTCAGTAGTGAAGCCTCGAATATTTCTTCCATATTATATCCAATAGTTCAACCTGGTTTTCTTGAGTAAAGATTTCATTGAAGCTAGATCCGTTGTTGCACGTTTCTAAAAGACTTAGTGCTTGTCTTTTACAACCCCCCCCCGCCCCCCGCTATCGCCCGAATTATACCCACCGAGAGAGATGTGTGAATGATTATGATGGAACAGCATGTTTTTACGAGTATAATTACCAGTTCATTGGATAATACAATATAGATGATAGTATTTAGTTGGGTGGACCTTCATCTTTTGATCAGCGGACTCATCTTACATCATATTATCATCACAATCAGCTAGGATGAAATTTTGCACGGTGCTCTGATGATATCATATAAATGGTGCTTGGTTTGTGTTATCTTTGCTAAACCTTATCAATGCAAAATTTTCTTTTTGTTTGCAGATAATTGAATGGAAGCCGGTTGTTGTGAGGAGTCCTCTCTGTTTTTCTGTTTCTGCCGATGCTGAACTCTCAATTGTAAATAATAATCTGGGAAGAATGTGAGAGTTGGGTTTTGGGAAACAATGTCGGTGCATATTTGCTGAGTTTTGTACCTGGATTTCAGATGTTCTATCCGATAAATGTTTTGAAGCCTTTCTTGTCTGAATGCCCCGGGACAGTGATAGACGTAATATTGTTGTCTGTTGGACTGGACTTTACCTTTAATAATTTGGTATAGATAGTGGACCGTCGAGGTTTAACAACTGCCCATTTTCTTAATGCAATTATGTTGCGCATCGCTTGGACCGCTTGTTCTTGGACTATTTTGGTTGTGATGTGAAATTGAGTTCTCCTTCCTAGGTTTGTGAGTAGTTGAAGCAGCTGATTCCTAGTTGCGCTAACCTCACAATCTCATTTTATTAGTCAGGAGTCGGAAGCTTCTTTCTTAGGATCCATGGTCGTACTCTAATCTGAGAAGGAATCATGCGATATGACGATCCTAACATAATTGGTTAGATTTTGAATCAAGTTAAGAGTGGCATCGGTCTCGGTCTCTCTAACTGAACGAACAACCTTATTTTGTGTGATGGTCCGCTGAGAATAGAATGAGGCTGAATCCATTTTGTTACAAGGGCACGTAAATTCGATTATAAATATAATCAGAGAGTTGGGCTTCTTACAGACGCTAATTGCACAACATTGAACAGGTACGAATTGCAAGCAATTTTCTCCAGATCGTAACACGACCAGAGTAATTTGCTCAAATCAAATACATATTTGCATGGCTTTATATTACAAAGCCAGGTCTACCGTGGGTCCGAGGCTTTGACTGTGACGTATGGATTCCATGTCTGTCTGTAAATCCACCTCTTAGTAATTAACTGTAGCTTTGATGGCATCCAGTATCTGCAACAGATCACTATGTCTGTTATGCACCACATCTTGGAAACTGAAAAGAAGGGAAGCGAAGATGACAGGTTCAATACCTTGTTCTTGGTTGGCATATAGAATGGTTCAAAAACAAGTGGAAAGGGGGTGTCGAGACCACATACTCTTGCTACCGGAGCTTCAAGCTGAGGAAATGCATTAGGAGTCAAAATCATAAGGCTCCAAAGAACATATGAAAGTTCCGAATAATAAAACACGTTGTGAACGGTAGTGCCCGTTATTTTCTTGTATGTGCTAAATGAGGTGTCTCAAGTCTCAACACAAACCTGAAGGGGGAAAGAGGGAGGAATGTCTATTCCACATTCTGAAGACTTTTCTAAATAGAAACCACACTGTGTGGGGGCAATACTCACATTTTTTCACTATTTTAAATTCTTAGGATGTCTCAATTTTTTAGCATCATATTGCTTGGTTGCTCATGACGTCTGGGTCAAACTCATTTCATACAACTAGATGATGAGAGAAATAAAATGTCAACTGACACAGATCATCAGACGACTACCTTGGGTGTTGACATAGAAAAATTAATCTAAAGATGGGGCGGCTTACGTTACTAGACACTTATTGAGCTCAACATAAAGATTTTTGTGCAGTTGGTATAAAGCCAACTTTAGTAGATCTTAATTTTTCCAAAAACACAACCTAGCCTTTCGAAAGAAATCCATGAAAGGAAAAAAATTGTTTCCAAGTTCAGAATGTTTCTTTGACATCACTCGAATATTATGTCCTGTAAACAGCGAAAGGTGCAGCCATGACCACACAGAGGAACAGTCTAAACTGAACAAGATATCCTTCTATTATCGTTTAAGGTGTATGAATCATTAAAAATTATCTTGGACAGTATATTCGCTCGGATCCTGGTATGGTGATACCTAAATTTTCCAAGTATAAAAAAACCATTTATCTGGAGTTCCTAAACCAGCTTAACTTGTCATTGTACCGGTGCATTTTCCAAGTATAAAAAAACCATTTATCTGGAGTTCCTAAACCAGCTTAACTTGTCATTGTACCGGTGCAACTTATGATATATTAGACTTTACTACTACAGAGTTCCTAAACCAGCTTAACTTGTCATTGTACCGGTGCAACTTATGATATATTAGACTTTACTACTACAACGAACATGATAATTATTTACCCTCAGGAAGCAACATTCCATAATTGAAGCAGATATCTCAGAACCAAACCCTCCAGTAAGTGGTGCTTCATGACTAACCTGCCAATGGATAAAATATAAACTGCTGACAAACACATAATCAAATATTAACACAGTAAGTACAGATCAAGGACTTTACTTACCAGGAGCCTTCCAGTCTTTTTGACAGAGGCCTCTATTGTCTCCTTATCCCAGGGTAGTAGTGTTCTTAGATCGATGAGCTCGCAAGAAATTCCGTCCTGCATTTTATTTCATATTAGACAACTTAACATATCTTAGCAAGAGAAGTGATCAAATGACAGTAACGTAGCACAATAATGTAATATATAGAGGTAACGGTTTAAGAAATGAGACTCCAGCCATATTTTGATAGACACAAGACTATTAATTTGCAAAAATTCTGGAGTTTTGACAAGATAGGTTATTGACTGTGTAGATTAGATGCAAAAATGTTTTCACAAGATAGGTTATTGACTGTGTAGATTAGACGCAAAAATTAATATTTAGACATGGAACAATCACAAGACATAAGAATTTCAATAAAATGCAACCTGATTAGCAGATTTCTCAAATTAAGTTTCTCAACAATAAAGCCTGCAGGTTAACTACATTTGCTTAACTCTCCGTGCATTTGAATGCTCGTTTGTAGAAATTAACCGTACAGATCAAAACAAACAAAAACAATATGATACATGAAACAAAAACACACAATTTTCCATGTAGAAAAGTTGAAATATAATGGTCCAAACATAGTGCAAGATCTGGTATGTTGAAAGCAGTCGATCACGATATATAAATAAAAAGAACTGCTTCCATATAAACTACCCACCTTTGCAGCGTCATCACATGCTTGTTCCAATACTGAAATCTGTGCTCCCCATCCAACAACTGTTATGTCAGTGCCTTCACGAATTACCTGGCAATGAAAACCTTCATAAGTGATGAATATTGGCAACCAATTGCAACAAAGAGAAATAGCATACCTCTGCCTGAGATAGAGGAAGCATGTATTGGGAACCAATTGCAGCAAAGAGAAATATCATACCTCTGCCTGAGATAGAGGAAGCATGTAGTCGTGCTCAGGAACCTCTTCCACAGATAAACGATACAACCACTGAACAAAAAGAACATAAGGAAATTAGATGTAAATAATAAGACTTGTTGAGATAACTGATAGACAGAGGTAGTTCAGTTGAAAGAAATTGACACGAAGAAAAAGTAAGGCTAAATGAGGTAATTGAAAGGAGATAAAGCTTCTACAGTTTCAAGCTACAATTTTCTTCTCGGTTACTGAGGAGTTTTACACTTGTTTAGCAAAATAAGTTTTATAAAGAAAGAGGCTGCATTTATTTATTTCTTTTGCATTTGTTCTGCTCACTTCTTGTAATAATTCAATTTAACGAAAAAACACTGGAATGTTTATGCATGATCCTTTAGTTAAAGAAATCTAGATGTAGATGCATATTTTCATATTCAGCTGTCATTTCATCCATTTTTTTCACAAAAC